TTTTTGTTCAAAGAGGAACAAAGCTTTAATTAACTTGAAATAAATAAGTCAGAGATGGGTAATCAAGACTATAAAGAAGGTTTTTGGGTTAACGTGATCTGGCAGCATTTGTTATAATTTGGCATTTGTACAGTCATTAATTACTGTCTTAACGGCATTTAGTACTTTAAGCAGATGGAGAGTTTCTTACATTACGTCCTTTTAAGTTGTCTTAGACGCATGCTCCTAATCGTGTGAACTCCCATAAACATACCGAGCACTTGAGGCTATGTAAACAAGTCTGTGAGGGATCAGGCCGCACACTGGGATTCAGTCACACTCACATTCATACCTAAGGGAAATAACCGACTCTCAAATCGACCTGACTTGAATGTCTTTGGAATAGGCGGATGGAAAAATCCATGCAAATTCCCCACAGATGCAGGTCCTTCTTGCCGTGAGGTGACAGTATTAACCAGCGAGCCACTGTGCTGCCCACGCTGAATGCCGAAAGAAAAAAAATGAGAAAAATGTTAAAAAGTTCCTGTGATTCAAACTTCAAAGTAGAGTAAATGAAATTGAATCTGGGTTTTTAGTCCCACCTCACTCTGATGTGAAATAGAGCTGGAGACCTTAAAGGGAGATGGCGAGCCGAGTCTCCGGCCGCTCGCGCACTCCCGACGCGCACGCTTGCACACACACATACGCAGATGTGTAAAAGAATGTGCACACACGCTGATGGGTGCAGAAGGGGTGCGTGGAGACCTATTGGCCTTCTCCCTTGAGGAAGTCTGCATAGCCGGAGCCCACGGTGACCCCATAGAGGACCATCATCAAGATCCACAGTGCACAGGAAATAAATCTGACCCTTTCTCTGCCCTCTCCTCCCTCTCCTTCTGCCCACTACTCCTCCCTCCATCTTTCTTCCTGCCCTTCACCTCCTTTACCCCTTTTTGCCGTACCTATAGCCCACTTCCTTTCTCCCAGATCATCCGCCAAGTGTGTCTCGGTTCCTCACGAAGCACTTCTGGCCTGCGCTGTCTTTACTCTTCTACGTCTTTGCTTCACTGAAAAATGGCAGGAAGAAACGGCCAGAAAGTGGATTTGTCTTCCCCGCGCGCCCTCGAACAATTTCCACTTTTGTCATTTTTCAAAAGTCTTATCAGCTCCCCCGGCGCCTCTGTTTCCCAGCACATCCGCAACCTAACGTCTCCTGAAAAACCCATTGAAAATCACTCAACCTCATCAAGATGGCAGCTGGGAGAAGTAAGGGGTGGAGCGGACCTGTCAACATGTCAAACACATGACAAATACCCTCACCGACATGCGCAAAAATGGGCGCACGCTCTCACAGGTCTGGCCACAAATCACCATCGCAGATCAATGTGCTTCATGAGCATCTGCGGCGAGGACACACACACACACACGCACAAGTGAGCACACACTCATCGGAAAGGCTGGGCGGTCGGAGCTGTCAGCGCGTCGTCGTTCCACATCAATACTGACCTGTGCGTGAGCGTGCGACTGCATGCGTGTGTGTGTGTGTGTGAGACAGCGAGAGACAAAAATGTGTGCGTGGTTGTCAGTCAAGATGATGGACATGGCCTTTCACGGACTCACAATCGCTTGACAAGTGACCCCCGCAAACAGCCCCCCCCCCCGGCAACGCATACACACACATGTATTCAGACACACAAACACTCCAGTCATGTGGAATACACACTACCCTTAGGGGTCCCAGAAACACAATACCATAGTCAGCAACTATACAGCTCCGGAGAGGCCCTAACCATCCTTACATGAGGCCGCGAAACAAAAGAGTGTGTGTTTGTGTGTGTGTGCGTACCGACTGGGAAAAGTGCAGTGTGACATCGGGTGGCTGTTATCGTCGCCTCTTTGGCTCTCTGACTCTCGCCTGCTGTGTCTTTGTGCGAGCGGAGACAACAGACTCGGACAAACATTTGAAGATACTGAGCGCTAATTTTTTTATAAAGTCACTTCACCGCCAAATACTATCAGAGGTGACGCGTAACTTTTAAAACAGCGTGACACTTGCATTTGTTCTTCGGGGATTGCATTATGTTAGAAAATCAAGTTACCGCGTGAGGAATAAAATCCTAATGCGGGACTTGAAACTGAATTTACAACTTTGCGTCCTGCTTTGGCCGGAGGCTCCCTTGCACTCTGTGAACAAAGACAATGCAGCTGTAAAATGAGAATCCCCGTCCAAGGGCAAAAAGAAAAAAAAAAAGACTCGAGAAAGAAATCCGTCACACTTGCATGCCGACCTGAAGCTGGTGGCACAAGACCTTCATCCCATTATGAGTCACGGCGAGAATGCATCATCTCCTGCTAAAAAGGTTAAGGTCAGCTTTCAGCCGGCTGTGCGGTGGTAATACATGAAGAAATGAAGAGACCTGTGTCAGGGCTGCATACTGGCAGAAATGCCAGTCAGGTCAGTGGTAAAGACATCATCTTTTTCAACAACATAAGGGTTGGTTTATACAGCAACACTGGTAAAGAACTTATGGAGTAACTTTCCCAACTGGTTATCAAGCAAAGACATACCCAAAACTACTGACTAATGTGTGTTTTTCAAGAGGTTACATTTACCTAAGGAATGTATTGGTGAGGTCGCACACCTCAACTGGTCACTGCACGGCCGCTGGAGACTCCTAACCCAATAAACAATAGTTCGTTGAAAAGCTCAAGTGTGTTTTGCTGACAAGTAGCTTCTTGTAGCTGTGTGAATTATTACTGTCCTCCCTCTGAAGAATAGCTTTCTTTCTACATGCTTCCCTGGTGGATTGTGAATTTAAACAGGCAATAAGCCCAGCAGCTCCTACAGCATCCAAAGAAAAAAGCAGCACTTTTTCTCAAAAGTTTGGACATCAAGAGCAAAGCTTTTGAAAGTCAATTTAATGTGCTTTTCTGTGATTACCAACTGATCTTGCACTAAGTTGTCCGGATGCGGTAAATCTATCCCACCCATCTGGCACACTGAGCAGCTGAAAACAATGTTTAAGAGTAATTTGAAGCTACTATTTGTCGTATGCCTGGTGGGGGAATGATAGCTTTTTAACTCTGTTCAGGAAAACAGTCTCAGGGGGGCAAGGCCCATCTGTGATACTAATACATCACTTGTTGAAGTGAGGAGAAACATCAATACAGCTAATATAAAAATGATTACAAACTACGCCTGGCGACATTTTTACCACTTTGCTGAGCACACCACTTATGATCTCGGCAGAAGCAGAGATACATCAAGAAATAAAGGGAGTGCGAGGGGAGCGAGTGAGCGATGGAAGGTGTATTTATGCGTGCCTGTGGGTGTACGAGCGACATGGTGGGCTGTGTTTGAGAACTCTCTCAATCAACTTCTGCTGATTGCATATTTACATATTGTTTACAAATGCATATTGAGCAGGCGCGTGGATAACATGCAAACACAGGCACACTTGTGCACAACAAACAGCCTTTTACCTGTGCACAAACACAAAGAAACACATTCTTTACTCAGCTGATAACCTACAGATGTAGTAGTACTCGTGTCCAGGCCTGAACTCGAAGCCCAGGGAGAACGGAGTGAAGAGCTGGAACTTCTCTGAGAAGCGCAGGGGCCCGTCAGGACCGCTGGGACGGTTGCACTCCCAGCGCTTGAAGCCGCGCATCCTGTGCTGGCAGGAGGTGTAGCCCTCGTGGTTGACCATGAACAGAATGTAGCGCTCCATGCGCCCGTGGGACGGTGGACCCTCATAGTAAGGACAGTAGATGTCTAGATAGTCGTTGATGTTCACCGCCACCCTGTACTCTCCGTGCCAAAACCTGCACAAAACAGAGGAAACAGAGAATTAGACATTTCTTCCTGAATAAAAAATAATCACAAAAAAGCTTGGGAATATGCACAGAACCAGTGGGCAGAGGTCAATGCGAATAATTTACTGGAGTAAAATGAGATTGTGCAAGACGCATACTTGGAGAAAACCTATACATCCCTTCAAAAACTATGAATATTTACTACCTATATTGGATTTCTGTGTGATTGCACAGCCTGAAGGAAACTGCGGTGAGTTCTCCACTTAGCGTAGCGGAACCGTATGAAACCGTACGATCGCTGGTGGAATATTTGTGTGTTTGCATATCTCCAGAGGAAGATCAGGGGTCACAGTAAGCAACGGAACAACAACCCTTAGAGCTCCCATATGTTGCTCGAGGACACTTTCAACAAATGCTTTCTGATGAAGAATCTTTAAACCACCTGAGTCACTACAGCACATTGTAAAAACATCCTAGAGGGTGTTTTTTTATTTACTTATTTAATAAAAAAAAGGGAAAAATCAATGATGATCCCGGTGGTTACAGGAAAAGTTTGTATAGTAACCAATTTTATTTGAATAAAGCTTGGTGAGCTATCCTTCATGGGATTAGTAGCATATTTGAAATATAATATAAGCTTTTTTTTTTTCCAGTCGGAGGGCTTGAATGAGCCCACTGGTATGATACTCAAGAGAAGTGGGTCATGTGATGGTAGAGAGCACACATTATTATCCAAACCCCTAAAGCAGTGTATAGAGGCGGCTGTGAATGTCCACTTAGTTCAGTACACATTCGGATCACTGGGGCTGCCACCATTAATAGAAGTGGGTCAGAGGTTAGTGAGGAAGAAACATTAGTGGAGTTTTTCAATATTGTGGCAGTTTTCTTTGCTTTACTCCTTCTCCGTCTGGCGTACAGTAAAAGAGCTGGAGAAAATAAAATGCAGGTAACATATGGAAATATACGAGACAGCGCTTGAACTCCTCTCATCTCTACTTCAACCGCCGCTGCTAGTCGGTTTTAATACATTAAAAACATATGGCCGCCTTTCTTCCTATATAATACCGGCTTCTATTTGTGTTTATGTGTCGGTGCCAGCGCTGCTTATATTTTGAAACTCAACTTCTGTTTGCAATCTTGAAGTCACTGGAGTGAAACAGTCTCTTTTAAAGGATAAGGATGCCTGATATTCTATATTTTTGTTATTGTCAACAGATTTCATTAGAAGACCAAAAACCAACAACTTGAACTCTGCAGCTCGAAACTTTTTGGACTCCGGCGTCTTTTCCGTGGCACTCTGATCTTTCTATAAACCTTTGAAAAATGGGTAAAAAGTACTTACTTTTATCTTAAAATAAGCAAAATTATTACTTAAGTGAGCTAGACCTAATACTTGTTAGTCAATCAGGAGTAAACTTGGGACTATTTTCAGCTGTGGATGAATACACTAGATGATTTATTGAGTGTGTGTAGGTAGAAAAACAGCGGTAATAGTATGGATAGTAGGAAAAACATAGAATAGCACCAGATTTACCTTTTAAAATAATATTAATATGCTTAAAAACCATCTGACAGCCCCAACATGAGACTTTTATTTATTAATATTAATACGATCTATTAATAAAACGTCTTATACATCAATATTTCAAAAGTGTAGACTTGTTTAACCAACACACAGCAATATTGTTTCATGTGTAATGTTGTTTTAAAATCAGCACCACTCTGCGAGAAAATACAAAACATCAGTATTTATTAAATATTTTATACTTTAGATATTTTATTCACTGGCACTCCATAAATAATACGTCCCACGGGTTTGTCTTGATAATCTTTTATTGTTTTTGCCTCTTTAACGAGCCGCACTATATCAAAATTTCACTTTGAGACAATCTTCAGTAAAAAACAAAGAGAGTTTAAATGAATCAGCGCTGATATCACAGTGAAATATTAAATCAAATCTTTGTGGACGTGCGTCTGGAGCCGGCCTCTTCTTCTGGGTGTTCGTCATTATCGTCACCGCTCCCCGATGGCCACGATCAATTTAAGTTCAAATGTGCCGCGTCAAATATATTTAAAATTCAGCCGCCGCGTGTTATCAAATCTTGTTTTGTTGGAAGCTCAGTAAATTTGAGACGCAGGAAAATGTCTTCAATCAAATGAGCATAAACAAAGCCAGTTGTTGGGCAATCTCGTCGTCTCAGATGGAGCACACACACACACACAGATTGAGCTTTTTAAACAAATTCATCATTTTCCCCCCTCACCTTGGCAGTAATTGATTGCCTGGAATGAAGACATTTTGGTCTAAGCACTTTTGGTTAGCGGGATATTTAGCTTTGGGACAAATTATCCCTATAACGGCAGTCCTATCTCTTTCCCAGAGGGCAAATCAGGAAGTGAGTTAGATGTGAAATGAGCGTCTTCATGCTTCGGTGCCCTATCAGAGCGCGTTTCGCAGCTTCTAAAGGGATCCTTGAATAGATCATTTAGAGGCATTGATCCACTGGGGAGCTCCTCTCGGCTCCCAATCAACTCTGATTAACAACTAAAGGGGGGAAAGGCAGAGAGAGAGAGAAACAGAGGGAGAGACGCACGGAATGAGAATAAAAGGACTGAAAAGGAAAGAACAGAGGGAGAGAGACAAAGAGAGAAAAGGTAGGAGAGGAATAGAAATATGAGCGGTGTGAGAACAATAGAAAGGAAAAAAGACAAGAGAGAGGAGGGATAATGAGATTGCATGAAATGAGAGTACAAATGCAGGAAAGAAAGAGTGGAAGAGGAGGAGGAGGCCAGCAGGAAAAAAAAAAAAAAAGAGCAGATGGAAGAGGAGTTTTTTCTGTCTTTCATCTCAATTTGTACGAGTGTGGTTTTCCATCTGAGACAAATGTGCTTTGCCTATTGATTGCGCTCTGATACATTTATGGATGGCTACCATTTGAGTACTTCGGGTGCACAATGAAGTCCGTGTTTACGTGCTGGTATGCGGGCGGCTAAATGGTGGCTTGGTAAAGTGGGCCTCTGTGAGTGAGGATGCTCAATCCAAGAAAGGGCTAATGTGCCAGGATACATTAGGTTGTATTAAGCCACTCAGCGCCCTGCCCTGCTCCTGTGACACTGTCTGCATCCCTAATACGCCGCCGAGGCGAGAGGAAGCTGCAGGTGCAGGTGTGTGCCGCCGCCGCCGCCGCCGCCGCCGCACTCGGAGCTGTTAAACACGCCGCCGTGTGCGCATGAGTTTGTGTGTCCCCGCATCCTCTCTTCTCAGGCTGTGTGTGTCATTTGGAATTAAACACACACACTGCACTGACCAAAAAGACATGGGAATGCACTCACACTTATGGCATGTCTCTTTCTCAGAGAGTTTGTGTGTGAAGTGTGTGTGTGTGCTGCTGGTGTAGGGAGTGGGCGATCTTTCTTTTGATGTGGATGTGAGCTTATTTTAAATCTGTCAGAGGGAAGGACTCACAACACTGTAATAAAACCTGACATTAATGAAGCTTTATGTAGACTTCTGATTATGATGCTGTCAATAACTTAGAATCTAACACTTCTTGAAAATGTTGTTTTTTCTCGTCATCACCGTCTGCACATCTGTCAGCGACTCTGGACGTGACCAGAGCAGACAAACTTGGGCCAGTGTTACAGGTTTTAAATGCTTTTATGGTCATATGCAGCAATGAACAAGTTATTAGTGTAATGAAATTTCTAGGGTCTGCCTGACGTAAATGTCATCATCTCCTCAGGGCCGACAGAGTCAATGCAAACTTAAAATTTGTGTCTGCAAGGGCAGTGGGTGCATGCAGACTCGAAATAAGCATAATTAAATAAATGTTGCATCCGTGTGTCCATGTGCACATCTGCACAGGAGTGTCAACCCAGTTTTACACGTATATCTGTAGATCTGCATATAATGTGGGGTAAAAAGAGGAAGAGGAGTACAATGGTACACTCCTCCTTTCAGTGTGACATAATCAACCACCAACAACCCTGAGCAGAGTTTGATTCATCTCAGTTTTCATGAAATACTTACGGTGTTGTGAGAGTCCCACATTTATTTATTTAAAGCTCTTGTGAGTATGACGGTGTATTTTTAGGACTGCAGTGACTCAAAGTGGTCGTACAAAAAAGGCAAATCTGCAAACAGGTTCAGCGAGAATGTATGGGCAGAAAGCAAGAGTTGAGCCCCTTTCAGTCATGCTCTTCACTCCGTTATTTTGACGGCATCTGAACGTGCGGACTTCACATCTGAATGAGCACTAGTGATTGCTAACCAGTCACAATGGCAGTCTTATTTAATTAAATACGAAGGTAATGCAGAGAGTTCTCAGCCCCACCCGGAATCAAGGGGCGTAACTTCCATTTTGGGGCACAACTGCCGACCATAATGCCTTATATCGCTGTCTGCAAACTCAAGTGTTTGAAGCAATCAAAGAAAAAAGGAGAGGACAGCTTGGAGCTGGCTGCTGCTGCTTCAGGACAATACGTCTGTCCACACAGCACAGGTGGCGGAAGCAGCCAAATTGAACTGTTGCCCCATGAACCTCATTGACGTGACCTGGCACCGTCTGACTTCAATCTGTTTCCTAAACTGAAATCCCACTTGGTTGCCATTTTCAGATTGATGATGAGGTCACGCATGCTGTTGAGGAGAATCTGGAATCTCAAGATGTGAAATGCTTCCGCGAAGGTGGAACAAGTACACTGAATTTAAAGAAACTATCTTAAAAAAATAATGCGAGAACAATCTTTCTGCTGTAAAGTTTTCTGGTGAGGCTGAAAACTTTTTTGAAGTAGCCTCATAGTTTGGATCTGGTCACATTTACGTGCCATTTTCAACACGGAACAAGTCTGAACTGCATTAATAGATACACGTGTAGATTTAATGTGGTCCCAGAGGAACAAGAAAATCCTTGCCCAGGTATGTTTTATTTCCTCGGTTTTCATTTTCCTAAACTTGTTTGCTGATACTGATTTTGAGCTATCCACTGTTTTTTGGACTCTGTGATACG